TCACATATTCTCACCATCATCTTTAAAAGTGCAATCTACTGTAAAACTACAGCCGCTGCAACTGCAAAAATTATTTTGCGACGGTTGAAATTTACATCCAGAAACGCAGAGCTAGCCATCTTTAGACAGCCTGGGCTTATGTACACGAAGAGCACTTTACAAAGTACTTAAAGACACTTGCTTAAGTGATGCTAAAGTTTTAATCGCTCCCATTTTCAATATTACTGTCGGATTGCGTGGCTGATTTTATCACCCAAAGTGTTAATTGTTCGAGTGTTAGAACAAATAGTGAGGAAAGAAAGCTGGGATAGAACTAGTTTAGCCATGATTTAGTCTGGGTCTCGATGCCTTTCAACGCAGCATTCCTGCCAAACACATGCTTCAATACGGCTGTAATTTGGAGAAGCTAAATTCTATTTCTTTTTACATAAGTGAGACTTGGATTTATTGGAACAGCACACCTTTAGAATCTTGCTTTATTTGGGAATAGTTAGTCGTTAGAAGGGATTCATTCAGTTTGTTAATAGTTTAGTTCATTTGTCCACCGCTAAGACTAAGACTGAGATAAATAAACTGTTACTTGTTGAAATTTGAAGCAAGTGTCAGGGGTTTATTTTATTTAACCACTAGAAGTTGCTGAAAGGCAGGTTACACCACTTTTCACACTCCTTTACAAATTACAGGGCGAGGTGCTCCTATTTTGGTTTTAGTTCTCAGGGTGCGAGGGTGGATCAACCTCAGCTTTATAACATAACCGTCCTGCCAAAGTGTCGCTCACCCCTTGGCGTTTTGCAAAACGTCCCGATGAGGACAAAAAGCGATACGCGAAAAGTATCTTTTCTCCTCATTACTGAACGTCAAACCTAACTGGAGGCCAGGAAGCAGCCAAGCCGAGTTTTGTCGGGATTTGGTTTCCAGGGCCGACGAAGGAAATGGGATGGGCTGAATTTGAGGAGCCGTGGCCTAAGAGTATCGCAAAACAGAAGTCTGGATAGGCGCAAAACGAGAAAAAAAATTACAAAAGCGAATGGAATGTTGGCCAGGGTCTCAAGGGGTTCGGAGAACAATGGGGTGGGGAAGTCAGGCTTAAGGTCATAAATCTAGGGTTGGGATCCCATCCGGAATAACTTGCGCTCAGTTCTGGCCACCACACCTCAGGAAGGATATTCCGTCCTTGGATCAAACACTGCTGGGATTCGGCGGAGTTTTAACAGCTCCAACAGGCCGAGGATGGCACTAGGCTCGCACTCCCTCGAATATGAAGTTGGAATCGAATCACAGGACGATTGACAGATTTGACAGGGACGATGGGGAAGAAATTATTTTCTGTTTGGGAGGAGAAACCTTCACATTGGAACCACAATATTCAGGGAGTTAGGAGATCGGACGCATTGTAACTTAGGTCAGAAAGAGGGCGTAGGGTAATAAATTTGACTTGGGATGGTTGTAATGATAGCTGGATGGGTTTCTGAGGTCCATCCCCATTCTGAGCGTCATTGTCAGAATTTGTATTGAGCAAGACACGCACAATAACGTTATAACAGCATGGAGGGTTTCGGGCAAAGTCTGTATCCACCAAAGCTCCATGGGGATTAGCGGGAAATTCCCGAGGAGCGTCCGTACCAGATTTGGTGAGGCATTCGGAAAATTGTGACCCATTCCATCTCACAGGAGAACTGTGGGAAAGACCCAAAGGAGCACATGACCTTGCACTGACACACACGATTGGCTGTTAATTATGCAGGAAGCCCCAGGCACAGGGAGCCGCCGGCCTATCAGGTGCCAGCGGCTCACTGGCACCACCGGGAGCGGTGGCCAGTGCCGATACTGCGTCTGGGAGCAAGATGATCAGCAGGGTCTTGTTGGGGCCACGTTGTCAGTACACGCGTGTCCAACGCGCGCACGGAACTCCCGACGTCACAGAGCAACCCGACCACACGGCCCGCCACCTACCGGCTCCTATAACCTCCTCAATCTTCACGTACGATATATCGATCTCCTTGGCAAACTCTCGGACTGCCTCGTTGGGGTCCTCGTAGGTGAAAGGATCAATGTAGACTTTGATTCCCGAAATAGCTGCAGAGGAATTGAAGACTTAGTTACCGAGAATACACCTTTGGCTTCTCATAATAATGGAGTTCCACCCCATTCTGTGGCGATGGCATTAGCGGAGGGAGTTGGGGGTAGTGGGAGATGGTTGAGCTTTGCTCTTGGATTTAGTGAACAGTAAAATCCCGTGAGTAACAAAGCCATAGCTCCGTTCCCTCCTCCACATTCCTCAGTCCCTTCTCTTTTATAACACATCCGATTATCACGAGGAACATGGCTTTATTGTCATACAGGCTTGAGTGTTGGATTAGGCCTGAGCATCACACTAGGCCCAAGCATAGTGCTAGGCCTGAGGCTTGGGTTACGCCCGGACATAGCACTAGGCCTGAGGGCTGGGTTAGGCCTGAACATAGCACTAAGCCAGAGTGTGGGGTTAGGCCCAAACATAACACTAGGCCCGAGTGTCGGGTTAGGCCCAAACATAGCACTAGGCTCGAGCGTCGGGTTAGGCCCAAACCACTACTTCCTCTGGGACAGGAGGTCCTGGTGAGAGGGTACAAGCAGGCCGGACCCAGCCTGGCTCAGTCAGCAGCATGCTGAGCATCGGAGTCAGACGATTGTGGGTTCAACTCCCGCCCCAGAGCTCTGACCCTCAGATCCAAAAATTCTGAGCTCTGTATTAAATGGGAGATGGCGTTAAAGCACGTCATAGTCGGAGACACGGAGACAGATTCTTCGGTCCAACTCGTCTGTGCCGACCAACTCCCACTTGCCTGTGCCTGGCCCATATCCCTCTAAACCTTTCCTGTTCATATAAACCGGTCCAAGTATCTCTTAAATGTTGTAACTGTACCCACCTTCACCACTTCCTCTGGCAAATCATTCTACACACAAATCACACACTGTGTGAAAACGTTGCCCCTCACGTCCTTTTAAATCTTTCTCCTCTCACCCTGAAAATACGTCTCCTAGTTTGAACTCCCCCACCTTGGGGGGAAGAACCTTTGCTATTCACCTTATCCATGCCCCTCATGATTTTATAAGGTCACCCCTCAACCTCCAGTACAAATCCTCCAGCCTCCAGGCGATCCAGCCTCTCCTTATAACTCAAACCCTCCATTCCTGGCAACATCCTGGTAAATCTTTTCTAAAACCTCTCTTGACCACCCTGTCTACCTGTGACGCAAACTTGAAAGAATTATGTACCTAGTTGTGTTCCCACAAGGTGGAACATTCTCTCAGCCTTTACCAACTCAAGTGTACCATCTACAAGATGAGCCACAGAAATTCAGCACCAAACCCACGAACACTTCCATCTAGAAGGACAAGGGGAACAGATACATGGGAACACCACCACCTCCAGGTTCCCCTCCAAGCCACTCACCATCCTGACTTAGAAATATATCGCCGTTCCTTCACTGTCACTGGGTCAAAATCCTACAACTTTCTCTCTCTAATGGGTCAACCCACAGCAGGAGGACTGCAGCATTTAAGAAAGCAGCTCACCACCACCTTCTCAAGGGGCAACTAGGGACGGGCAACAAACGCTGGGCTCAGCCAGCGACGCCCACATCCCACTAAATGAATTTAAGATCGGGGTGGCACGGTGGCTCAGTGGTTAGCGCCGCTGCCTCATGGCGCCAGGGACCCGGGTTCGATTCCACCCTCGGGTGACTGTGTCTGTGTGGAGTTTGCACGTTCTCCCCGTGTCTGCGTGGGTTTCCTCCCACAGCCCAGGGAATGTGCAGGTTAGGGTGGGTTGGCCGTGCTAAATTGTCCCATAGTGCCCAGGGATGTGCAGGTTAGGGTGGATTGGCCGTGCTAAATTGTCCCGTAGTGCCCAGGGATGTGCAGGTTAGGGTGGATTGGCCGTGTTAAATTGTCCCGTAGTGCCCAGGGATGTGCAGGTTAGGTGTGTTTATAGGGGAATGGGTCTGGGTGGGATGCTCAGAGGGTTGGTGTGGACTTGTTGGGCTGAAGGGCCTGTTTCCACACTGCAGGGATTCTATCTATTTACCTACAAGTCCTGTCCAGATCTTAGATACTTTGGTAAGAGTTTACTTCTCAATCTTCTGAACTCTAGCTGGGTCAGGGCCCTGCTCGCTTCACTGTTTAGTGAACCCAGTTTCCAAACTGTCTTGTGCAACTCGACAAAGGGAGAGCGCAACTGCATGCAGGACTCCAGATGCAGGATCAGAAGACCCTGTACGGCATTCCGACTTGGATATCCCATTTCCTATTCGACAAGCAGCAACAACATTCTGTCGAAATTGGGCGAGAGAGAGAGAGAGAAACGCAGGAAACGTAACGCGGGGAAGCGAGAGATCATCACAGAATGAAGGGAGGAGCTGAATTTTATTCCGACCAAGAAAGCTACAGACCTGGAGGGATTCGTTCAAGAATCCCAAAAGAAAAGCTAGCATCCGGGCTCGGCAGGGAATAGGGAAGGCGAATCGAATTCAATCGGCAGGGAACGGGAATGAAAAATTCGGGAGGTTCTGCTCAAACTGTGGAAGATATTATCTGGTCCGCACTGCGAACGATTCTGGGATCCCACATCCAAGGAAAGATAGACCAGCATCGGAAGCAGACCAGGGAAGGGGTCACTCAGCTGGTCCCGGGGATGGAGGGACGGTCCGATGAGAAAGGGTTGGGCCTGTGTTCATTGGAGTTCAGAAGGATGAGAGGTGACTTTGTTGAAGCGTGCAAAACTCTCATGGAATTTGATGGGGGGTGGGGGGGGTGCTAATGTGGAGAGACTGGGACCAGAAGGCACACCATCTCAAAGTAAGGGGCTACCCCATTGGAGATGGAGACGAGGGAGAGTTTCTTCTCTCTCCGAGGGGAGTGAACCTGTGGAATTCTTTCCCGCAAGACGGGCTGTCGAAGCCGGGTCGCTCAGTATCGAAGGGGTCGTGTACCTTTCCAATCGCCTGCTGCAGCCTACCTTTCCCTTGGGACTCGCCTATCATCGCTCTGAGGCCTGCAACCCCCTCAGGTTAGAGTGACACTTCCTGGAATCCGCGTCCGCATCCCCGGGAGTCGGGAATATTCGCCCTCAGGAGGCTGCGCGGGGCACAGGTTAAGGGTGGCCCAGTTGGAAGGTTGTTAACGTTGGCGTCGCCACCGGCCTGAGCTTCTCAAACCAATCAGAAGACATAGATTAGTCTACAGAATGCTTCTCAGAGTCCAACTTGACTATCCCAGTCTTGTCACTTCCTGAAGATAGCCCCGAGGGGCTGAGCGGCCTCCTGCCCATTCTACACCTATTCCGTTCTTTATCTCCCCCCCCACCTCCAAAATCTCAGGGAAGCTTCGGGACTCACCGATATTTGGAGGCAACTTCTCGGAGTAGTCGGGGTCTCGTTTGCGTTGCTTCCTGAGAGGGAAAAACCAAAACAAGTCTTAGCGCCCACACAGCGGGATCCTGGGATATCCGAATTCCCTGAATTATCCGACCTCTCGGACAGGAGCGACAGAGAGAGAGGACGAGGGAGGGAGAGCGCACGCGGGGGGGGAAGAG